GTGCACGCTAATAATCTCTCTACTGATGAAGCTAAATATGAGCACAAAAAAAATCTTCAAAGGAGAATATTCCTCCTTTCTTCCAACAGCAAAGGCAAAATATGGAGAAGTGATTAAAAAAAAAAAAGGTCAAGTGGCATCTAACTGGAATCTAACTAATCTAACATAGATATTTCATTTATTTTCTATTTCCTCTGATTTATTTTGAAATATTATTTTGCAAACTGACATTTGTACACTTCTCTTTTTAATGCCAAATACTTTTTTACAGTAAATGTGTAAATATTCCTTAAAGAATTGATGATTTCTATATAGAGGACAGCCAAAGAATGTGATGAACGGAATTGCTGGATAAAAACCTTTAGATGTTGGGATAGGCAGTAAAATAGCAGACCCTGTTGTCTTCTCACATACCCACTTGGAACTGGAACTTCACCAGACTTTCTCATAGCCCCTTGGGATCTCTACAGTCTGTTTTGGTTAAGGGATTGAAGATCATGTTTTAATGAACTTTATTTAGCTGTTTTGACAACATGAATGCATGAAACAACTGAAACTGAGTGAAATTAAGCACAATTATATATATATATATATATATATATATATATATATATATATATATATAGACTTTTTATGTAAGTTTTTACTGAACAATATCATTGAAATAGCTTTTTCATTTGATCATTTAGGATTAAACATCGTTTGATGGGGAGACTGACATCTCAGTAGCTCATCACTGATGCATCTATAAGGCTGTAGCCTATTTTCCTTTATTTACTTTGGGTCTGAAGTTTACGCCCTGTTTCGGCGGATGTGACGTCACGCCTGTCCATGTTAAATAGGTCCAACCGAGAAAACAATTGAAGCTTTATATTTAAGATGGATTTTGCGGATATTGAGAAGCGACCGGTATCCAGTTCAACTAGACACCAATGGTGACAGCACTTAAGTAAAAAAAATAAAAAGGAAAAACTGTAAAAAAAAAAACTCAGGACAAGCAGAAGATTGCTGCAGTTCTACGTTTTGGCCAAAGGTGGCAGTATCTTTAGAAAACTCTGTAATGTCTCTTTAAATGCTATTTGGTTATATAATAAAATTGTATAATTAATTAATACAAATTATTCAAAATTAATATTATCTCAGTAGATGTATTTAATGATTTGGGGATAAACTAATTTACTAAACTCTAGCGTCCTTGCTGCAACTCTAGAAAAACAAAACTGTAGGGCCTTTTGGCCTGGAAGACTAACATAGCTTGCCAAAGGCAAATAGCAGCATCTGTAAAGACCATACATACGCATTATTAGGACTGGAGGAACCTCTTATTTAGAGACAAAATGTAAGTCTTTAGAGTTTTCTGTGTAATTTCTGTGTTTTCTGTGCTCTTGAACATGAATCTTGGAGTTTTAACTTACAGGTGTGTGTGAAAGGATTAAGATCATAGTTCAGCAATGTTCAGATATTTGTGTTGCTCAAGATGGAAATTCAATTAGATACATGGGAACAAAAATATTGAATGCTACCTCCATTCTGAAGGTTTTGTTTTTGACACTATATTTAACTAAATTGTATTTTATTAATAAACGTAATGAAACCTAATATCCTTAACTAGTAATTGATTAATTTGTTAATGATCTGTATTTTTCTCAATGAATTAACTCATGTATATTTTTGTTGTCAAATCTATCATAAACAGCTCTGTCTTAAAGGTGTGTCCTCTCTGGCATTAAGCTCAGCCTTAGATGAATCCATCCGGCACCTTACCTTATCGGACCTGCAGTTCTGAAGATTTTGACCTAACCTCAGTGGACAGAGCCTCCCTGCAACATTTTTTATAGCTAGCATCAGACTATAACATACATAGCTGCTCTCATCTTAGCACAAGTATTGAAGTTTTAGTTTTTCCTCTCTTTAGTTTTTAGAAACTTGATCTAAATCTTTTAAACCTGATATTGCTGAAAGACTAAAGAATGTTAAGGTAAAAAAAAGCAACACAGATGCATTTCTACCAAGCAGATCCAGATTCCAACTGATTTACTTTAGAGATAAAACTATAAAACCTGCTTTCATAAAACAAATATCATTATCAGAAAAGAGATCTTATTCCTTAAGCTTCTACACTGGCAGAATTCAACTACCGCAGACAGATATATTGCATTGCTATACAGCAGAATATTATTTACTTTTTCTCAGAAAAGGGAAATCTTTAGATCTGTGTATGATGAAATATTTTCAAATAAGCTTTTTTTTTTTTTTTTTTTAATCTCTGGTTATGGATTAGTTGATTTTCTTTATTTTAAAATGAGTTTTGCAATTAATTTTATCAGAAGTAAATCAAATGGTAAAATCTGATATAATGGTTTGGATTCTGAGGGATTAAAGCTGCGTGCCGGCAGTACTTATAGAGGTCTGACAAAATAAATTCCAGGAATTTGTCTGATAACAACCCGCCTGAGAAGCTAGGGAACATCCTGTGTTTCTGGCTGTGTCTCGATGGATGATGAGCAGCATCCTGGATCAGATGCACGGCTTTTTAATTTAGCTGCTGCATGCTTCAAAACACAGTGACAGAAGTTTTCATTCTGTGATTCAACCTTTCAATAACCCTGCATGAACATTAGCTCCAATTTTTCAGGCAGTGACTAAAGCTGCCACGTCAGCAGCTGGCCTGAAGCTCTTTCTTATTTTCTGACTCCTTAAAAGGCCTGAGATGCATCTAACAAAGCAAATACAGATCATTCTGTGACACTATGAGTAACTGGAGGAACGTGTGAGGAGTTAAACTGTTTAGAACCTACTTTCTGGATCTGATTGTTAAGTGTGAAAACAGGAGTCCATTTTTCTGTGTGGATCAGTGTGTTTGGTCATCTCCGTTGGCTTTGTGTAACCACTAGGTACAGTCCACAGGAAAATACATTTTCTGCATCATGAAAACCTGTTCTCTTGCAAATCCAACATTTATTTTTCTTTCTGAGCGGATTCTTCTCTTTTAATTAAGTCAAGTTTCTGCTGGATCCTCTCCTGCGGCTAAAACCCCATCCAATTTATTAATGCTGTGAATGCCTAACGCCTCCCACCGACATGAATACATATTTATACCAAGGCGAGCCACTTTACTTTAATATACTAAAGACATCTTCCTTTCCTTTCAGTGTTTTTCTTAAGAAGCAGCACACGCTGCCATAGAAATCAGAAATATGAGCTTGGTAACTTCATTGAAGGATATTAGATTCAGGGATGAAGATGAAGGGCAAAAGAGTAGAGAGAGGAGCATGTTATCGCAGTGATTAAGCTTGCCAGTGTGGGGGCGGTTCATATATGTGAGTGCGTGTTGCAAACACAGCAGGGGCAGAGCCGGATTAAAGCTGAAAATGCTCCATAGCTGTGAGAGGCATCAATTGGAGAAACGGAGGGAAAGCAAAAACCACACAGAGAAATGAAGTGACACGGCTAGAGCTCAACAAAGAATCAAGCGCAGACTAATTTTATAGATATTCACTTAAATGCTTAAAAATGGGCGACCATTGTTTAGCTTTATCAAGTACCTGTCCTAAAAAAAGATCAAGCTATAAGGTTGGAGTATTCAGACAGAGGGATCTTTAAGCAGTCCTTCATGCTTTTATATTAGTATTATACGTATTATTATTTATTTTATCACACAAATATGTCTCTATGATTGTTGATATATTTGATTGTAAAAACACTGTTTACTAGAGAAATGTGCCTGAGTGTAAGCCCCTCCTCCGTCTCTGATTGTCTGTGTTGTTGCTGAACCTCGTTCCTATTCTGATATTCTCCTCTGGGTGGACTGGGGTAATGCATCCAGTTGATTGATACATTTTTAAGTATAATTTTTTTCTTTACACCACTGTAATATTTGCTGCTATTTAGTAACATGAATATTTGGGAATATTTGAAGTTGGAAAACTTATATTCTAAGAAAAGAATGAATAGCTTGGCAGCAAAATGGAGTTACACTGACTTTAGTGGGGTTTCATCATACTTTTGTTTTGCTCACAGCTTCCACTGTGTAGTGCAGCAGGTGTTTTCTTATTCTGTTTACGGTTTCCTTTTAGGTATTTCAAAATGGGTAAATATTTACCTCATTAACAATAAATGCATCCATCCATACTGTAATATTCTCCCATGGGAGTTAGGTTTGATTGGGTATCATATACGGTGGTTGGTTTTCTGCTCAAAAAACACATGGAAAATCTCTTGAAAAGTATTCCTCAAAGAGATGTACGGTTGCCTGCTGGTAACTGTTAACTGATAACTGTTGCAACGGAGCTCCTCTGGTGTAGGCTAACAAACAAACTAGCCGTCTCTGCCGGGAGGACAGGCAAGCTGCTGGACTACCTTTCCCTGTTTATGACAGAACAGCAAAATAAACATTACTTCTATTCTTAATTAACTTACCTGTTCAGCAGTAAGGCTCCAGCCTCCATGTTCATTCAATTCCCTCATGAACTGTCTGGAAATTGGTAAAATCTACGCCAATGTAGCCTCATGTTTTCTGTCTATAACCTCTTTTTTTTTTCTTGGTTACCTTCCCTTCCTTCTACCCAAAGAGTATTATCAACCCAGAACAAGTTTATCCTCTTTTGGCAACTGTAATCAAAATTGGAGACACAAAATCCTGTTCTAGGATTTCGAAATGCTTTAATTTAGTCATATACTGTCCCTTTAATATAAAAATAATATATTCAATCATATCTATCTGTAACTAATACAAACAACATAATGCACCAGAGTGCTTTTTTTTTATTTCTTATTGCGGTATAAGAAAATGAAAATGCATTAATTCTTTCACCATAAACAGATTTTTATTGTGAGTGTGACCAAAAGACAGATATTCTGGAGCTCACTCTCACTTCCCCTTATCTATTTATTTATGGATGTGGATGAAGAAATTAAAAATACTACTCCTATATTTCAGCTGCAATGTGCCATTTAAATGCATGAAATGTGGATTGCATAGGTTTTTTTTTCGTTCATACCATTTTTATGGCGCCTCATCAGAACACAGCGTCCGTTATCGTTCTCTCGATAGGGGGAGAGGCAGGAGCCGCAGTGAGACGAGCCGACCTGGCAGTGGTGGCGTCTTTGCTGGGCACAGTCTAACGGTGAAGGGCATCTATTGTGAGCTGAGGGACAGATACAAACAACAAAAAACCAAAACTGTTAATGATTGCACAGAAGATGAGAAAAACGTGTTTCTGTGTGGAATGACGTGAACTAAAAATCCTTTGAATAAGAAGTGATTCAGCTCTGTAAGTCACTCATTTCTTGTTCGTGGGCGTCTTTTATCTAAGAATTAAAAGAAAAAAATCTCACCTTGAAGAAATTGCATGCTGATGAAGCTTTGGTGTGTTTTATCAAAGACTTTTCAGCTTTGTGTCTAAAGAGTAAATTCACCAGAAAGGACCACAACAGAAAACCGAAAAAAAGCCTCCCCACTGCACAGTGTTGTGATCATGACCCTCCTCTAGGCTTAATCAGGTCAGACCCAAATAAAGACTGATGTTCTCGCTATCGGCTCAGATAATCACTTGGCCTCATTACTGTCTATTTGAAAGAATTTAATTCAGATGCATGCACAAACACACACAGATGTCAGAACCAGAGGATGTGATAAGGTCAGAGCAGGTGTGTTTGGCAGCGGAAGGCAGGCAGAGACTGATAATGAGCACAGCGGGGTTGTGTGGTGGGCCCAGTTAAAGGTGAACAGCACAGCAAGTGCAGATGTAGTCATAACAGATACAGTATGCGGTGATATAAGCAGGACGGACAGAAGGGGAGGCCAGTGTTCTGCAGCCTTTTGTTGGACCCGACACGTCCCTCTGCAGTCAGGTTCTAATCAGGCACTGAAGACTTTGCTTGCATCTCTGAAGAGTGCTTTGGAGATTTCACTTTACCTCCATTAGCATACATTTATCTTTACATAATGGCGAGATTAACTGAAGTCCTTTTATTTCTACTCTGAAAGATTACTGGTTGTGACTCCTGGCAAATCTAGAACAGTTTATTCTTACAGCCATTTCCTGCCTTACTTGTACTGCTCATTTTCCCACCAGTCCCTTCTTGAAAAATATCTGTTAAGTGATAAACACTTGATTTTTGATATAATTGAGAAATTAGGGTAAAAATGTATCAAATGCTTTAGCTATTAATGTGAAATTGCATAGTAAAACAGCAACAAAAATACACACTTTGATTCACAACATGCATATAACCGCTGGTTCTGGAGCAGCAAGTGGCTGTTAGACACTCAACAATTGCTCTTTATCACTTCTGCGAAAAATTATGAGAAGCCAGATAATCTTCTGATGAAAGATATAATAAAAATACTGGTTAGTATCCAGGTTACAACTTTCTCCAGTGACTTTTTTCAAAAAGCATTGACTCTAAATATAATGGTAATATATAATTATCTTTTTTAAATGGAAAAATGTTGTTTTATTTCAAAGTAATTTTCAACAATTTCAGCAACCCTTTGAACATGTGTTAATTCGTATTATTTCCAAGTTTTTTTTTCTTCATTTTAAAATCTAAAATTTGAAATTGCAAAAAGATTAGTTAAAAGGGAGAATTATGTCTTTGGTAGATATATATTATATATTAGTAATATTTTCCTTTAAGAAATAAAAAAAAAAAGTCATGTAAATTTTGTGGAGCTTTATTAGCTGAACTAAGGTGAAAAATGACTCTAGTGTAAAGGTTGCAGAGCCATGGCCTAAACTGTCTTTAATTGGTCAGTTGTCTGTTAAAATAAGATTTCAGTGCAATCTCAGCCAGTGTCTAATTTTTATTGCTTAAGATAAGTAGATCCAAAGTGATAGTAGGACCATCTTACCGCTGCGCCACCTGCACACCCCAAAACACATTATTTGTTGGTCATGCAGTTGTATTTCTATTTGAGGGAAACTGAGGAATGAAGAACATTCATGCTAAAAAAAACCTCAGACAACAGAACAGAAACCTGAACCATTTGATCATCTGCTCGGCAGCAGCAAAACTGTCAGATATTATATATAACATCGTCCTTGGACGACCTGCCTGAGGAACAGGTGGCAGATGTGCAATCTGAGAAATCTCTTTTGGGTCAGATAACAAAAAAAAAAAAAAAAACACATTATGACAGTAGGAAACAAGGAAACTGATTTATGATGCTGTGGGCCTACAGGAATAATGTCAGACTTAAAATCATTTTTGCACTTTTTTAAATAACAGGGTATTTTGAATAAACATATGATAGAGAACTGAAAGCAGTATAATGACCTCAGAGATAAGGCCAAATAAAGGCAGAAATGGTGAACTAGACACTAAATCTTCCTTCACAGACCTATAGTTTATAGAAAATGTGTTAGATGGGCTGATGGAATAAAAATATAAGAAGATCAAGGCCTCAGGATGATCCAGAGAGATAAAACGTTATTCCATCTTACATAACTGTAGCTGGCATCTTTATAAATTTCATGACAATAAAATAAAAACTCCTAGGCTTCGAATGATTGTCCCCAACATAAATGTCAAACGCTGTACTTGCCCTGTCATTCTCCTGGCCTTTTTCTTGAGCATGTTTGCATAAAGCTTTGATGACCGTTAAGGTTAAACCGAACTAATGATCGATTTTGTTGCCTGAACAAAATCATGAAACAGCTAAAACCTCTAATCTATGAAAATATCCATCATCACAAAGTCTCTCTATGAAAACAATTGTTATAAAAAAAAAATAAATATCAACTTTGCTGAAACTTAATATGCAGCGAGAATCTCAACACTTCTGGTCAGAACTCCATGTGTTATTCATGTGGGAAGCAGATAATTTTCCTCCAAAGACACATTTAATCAGGAACACAGAAACAAGCCAAACTGTGAGGCTTTCCAACAGAGAAAAAGAAAACAAGAGTGACGCTGGGGTGCATTTTAAAACATTTAGATCTCTGTAAACGCAGGAAGGGGGTCATTTACATTCAAAAACCGGGTAGAAGTATTTATTTACCAGCACAAGTAATTAAAAAGTCAAAGAAATGTGTGCCTCCCAAATTCAGACATCTCAATAAATGGCACAAAAAATACCACAAAACGATTAAGTGAGAGGATGAGACATCATATAAAGTAACTCTTTAATGCAGATCAGGACGTACGGTCTCAGGTTAGTCACAAGAGTGAGAGCAAATTGCATAACGCAAGGACTCAGAAATTAGTCCTTGGATTTAAGTGGAAAAAAAACAACTTTGCTAACCATCTGCTGCTGTTTCCAGGCTTTGCGCTCAGCAGAAGCTTAGCCAGGAAAAAAATAAAAAATATGAGAGCAAAACAGAAGCATACATTCTCCCAAAGCTCTCAGACCAACACATACATGCAAGCATGTTTATTTTGGCTCATTTGAGCTGTTCCCTAGATAAATAAGATAAATGACATAATATTCACCTATGTGTGCTCATGATTTTGGTGAGCAGATTCTTTCTTTTTTTAAAGGAAAAGTAGGAAACACACCCATTGTTTGCAGTTCCTGACTCAGATAGCAGACAGGAAGTAAGCCAAGCACTCTAAATCAAGTGGAAACATTAAAGAGCTCAGCTTCGTTGCCCTGCACTTAATATAACCAGTGAGTGTATTTCCACTTGGCAGAATGATAAAGGGCTTTAGAGGACATGTTTGTACATTTGTGTTGAGCTTTTGGAGGTTCTACTTCAGTCTCCAATTACTAAAATCAAACAAATGTTTGACCGGCCCATTTCAAAGTGTTTGTTTTCATTAGCCTCAGCTGAGGCAAAACCTCCACTGCACACCTGTATACGTAGGAGTTTTGCTTTAGGCATTGAACATACATGCATATTTTATTATTTTTTAAATACAGGGTAAATTGTGGTTTTCCCCACAGATCAGTACAGAGTCACTATCCATCCATCATATATTCCATCACGGTGTTGGTGAGGCCGGCGCCTATCTCTGGCAGTCTATGGGTGAGAGGTGGGGTAAACCTTGGACAGGTCGCCATTCTGTCAAACCAAGAACTTTCTTGCTGCAAGGCAGCTGTACTACAAACTGTAACACCCCCACCCCCTGTACAGTCCCAGTACTGAGTCGCCATTTTAAATTTTTTTTTCCTACATGCTGCATCTTGCTCAACTTTTCCAGGTGCATGTCACTCTATGCAGATGAGCTTTTACTGTAAATCTTAATAAAATCTGCTGAATTCAACGGTTTTGCAAATCTTTCAATTTGAGATCAAATGTCAAAACAGAAAAAAAATTTCCTTCCATTAGACAAGAATTTCTGGTCACCCACACATCACTGAGTCTCGTCATGCTAAACAGGGCTTTCTGTCAATGACGCTATTGCTGAAGCACAACCTCATGTTACGAATGGGTTAAAATGCTGTGGTATGATGAAGTTCCACAAAACATATCAAAAGGTTAAATTAAAACTATTCTGCCAAAAGATGAGTCAATCAAAATCTCCCCAATGATTAACTTGCCCTGAATTACGTAATTGGTTCAGGGCAAGTTGGTATCGATAGTTAATCTTTTACTAGAATTGCAAAAAAATATATATAATAATAAACAGTAGACATCTGTAAGGAAGCAAACTTTTTTGCCACAGTGCTGTATTTCCCTTAAAGTTACGGAAAACGGAAAACATACCTTACAATGATTTCACACCCAAGGTAGGTGCTAAACCAAAGGGTTTTTTTTGTCTTTGTTTTGCTGCAAAGTATTCTTAGACACACTAAGATTCTCAGTGCTTTGAAATAAACTTTGCAAGATTATACCTAAACAAAGCCTTTATCATTATCATTAATGTTCATAATCATTATATTCAAATATGTAAAGTTAAGTTCAGGTTGATTTCCAACAATGTGAGGAAACCATCATGATCATTCTAACATGATAAACTGTAATAGACGTGAGCAAGGAATGAAAGCATGCAACAAATGTTTACACACATAGATAGATTTCTTTGTTCTGCCAAACCAGTTTCTACTGCTGGGAAATTATCTATGAACTTTCCGATTCATCAGAGCCAAATTTATCCACACACACACACCTACAATGAAAAAAAATAATAAAAAAAAGAAAGAAATGTACTGTCATAGGAATAAAAAAAATGTCTGATTTAAAAAATAAAAAAAATTCTC